CGGAATGATGCTCAAATCTCTGGCACTGTAAGAAGCTGAAAGATCATGAGATCTAAATAAGAAGCAAGCTTCAAGTCACAAGCAATACTGAGATGGAACTGGACTTAAAATAATGTCAAGATTTGGCATGTCTGGAAATACTTTTCTATTTCCTTACTCCTGAAGGGTACAGAGCTCTTGATGATCCTAAAGGTCTTTTCCATGGTTCTATGAGTCATAAAATACACTCCTGGCTAAAAGGCTGGAGTGCTTTGGATCAGCTGAAAGCCTTTGGAATGGTCAGCTTGGGTCAGAGCAGTTTCACTAAAGAGCTCAGTTATCATTTCCTCTCATCCTGCAAACAGACTGAACCAGAGTACTTTGTCCCCAGCACAGGCTGTGACAGCAGCCAGGCAGACCCAACCTGTCATTTCCAAGAAACATGTGGAGGCAGCAGCAAGAGCTGCAGGATGGGCAGAGGCTGGGGACCCCCTGCACCCCACAGCCCTGCCTGTGTCCCCAGCCCGGGGAACAAGGGCTCCTTCATGGCTCCTCCATCACCCCAGCTCCTCCTGGAACAGGCACACAGCATCTGACACCGCTTTGGCCCTGTGAGCTTCACTGCATTGTTTGATCCTTTTCCTCAGATAAATCTCCCCACTGAGCACCCAAGGGAGCCAGGGTGCAGAGCAGATCGGGAGCAGCTGGATTGGGAAACGGAGCTTCCCATTCAGCTGGGGTGGAAAGGACCCAATCCCTGCCCCAGGGGTGCTGCAGCAGGGCAGGTTGGGGAGCAGACCAGCAGCTTTCTCTGCCAGGTTTCAACAGCAAGACAAACATTCCCTGCCAGATCCATCCCTGTGATTGCCGGGGCATGAAACGTGTCCCAGAGCACCCGGCATCGCCCCTGTGCCGGGGCAAAGCAGGATTTATGGCACATTCCCAAGGCCCCAGCCCAGCACCCCAGGCAGACTGCTCTGCTCCTGAACCCTGCGGTCCACCCTGGTCTCCCAGGGTGTGGGTGCTGCAGCTGAAAACAGAGGGGCTGGAGGAAAGGCCACCAGAGGCTTCCCAGCCCCAACCAAAGCATCCCCCTGCCAGCTCATGGCTCAGCCCAAGTTCCCCCCAGATCCCATCAGGCTCTACCTCAGTGGCAGCAAGTTCCCAAGTTAATTATTCCCCATGTAAAAACAACAAATGGGTTTTTTTGGCTAGATTAGGAAGCATTCTCACTGTATAAATAGCTGGGTGGTGCTCAGGAAACCACTGAGGGATGAGACAGAAGGGAAACATGAGTCTCCCTCACGTCTGGAATCCCACCCATGGCACAGTGAGTCACAGAGCAGCCCAGGGAAAGCGAGGTCTCACCTTTGCTGTGCTCCTCTGTGGGGGTCACCCCCAGCTTCTTGAAGTACTCATCTGTTTCAGGGTCCACCACCAGGAGCCTGGCTTCGCTCTCCCGGGCCTTGATGTGGGACACGACCTCCGAGTGCCGCAGCCCTTCCACGTTTATCCCGTTCACCTGCGAAGCGACGGCGTCAGAACCCCAGCCTGTGTCCCCCCACAGCAGAGCTGCTGCTCCTGGCTCACAAACCCCCAGAGCAGCCTCCTCTTCCCCTAAGGGCTGCGATCTTCCTTTTTTAATTACTGCTGGGATGACAGGAAGGCTACAGGCTTCTTCCTTTCCCTCTCGAGCCTCTGCCCACATCCCAAGCACTGGGAATCCCAGCCCCCGGGCTCTGCCATCACCTCGCCCTCCCTGGCCCTACCAAACAGCTCTCCCTGCCCAGCCTCCACCTTGAATAGGCCTCAGGCATCTCAGGCTGCCTCTGGGGTGCAACCACAGGCAGTGGGCTGGGTGCCACCCGTGTGTCCTGCTCCCCAGCATCACCACATCATCGTTCACCCCTCCACAATGGAAAATTGTGGACTACCCATGTCCCCGTGCCTGCTGCATGGATTCAATTCTCCCTTCCCTGCGGGTGAGCCAGGACCTACCAGGGAATGTGATCCTCTGCTCCTGATTGTTCCCTGCAGCAAGGGACAATTGTGATTTCAAGGCATTGTTTGTAGTGGTGAATGAATCACCCTTTGTCCCTGCCAGGGGACAAGGTCTCTGCACTGCCCAGCCCCTCGCTGCTGGACTCACTTTTCTGCCATAAAGTCTTCACAATGCTTCATCCCAGCAAAGCTCAACCCACCCTTTGCTGCTCGTCCTGCCTTTGGCATCCAAAGTTGTCAGCTCATGGGACAACAGTGCCATGTGGTAACTAACTCACTTCTCCTGCATCAGACCCTGAGGCAAAAAAATACCAGGGAGCAAGGGGAACCCCATCCCAGCAGCCCTCTGGGAGCTGAGCATGGCAGCAGGGAATTCCAGGGAAGCAGGACAGCAGATGAGGCTGGTCCTGGTCCAGCCATGGTCCTTCTGGCTGCAAATTCATGGAGTTGAGCATTGGGGGAGGGAATGAACACCATCCGGAGGCAGCAGTAGCTTGTCCCCACCATCAAGTGCCAAGCCAGGTGAGCCTGAGCTGGGCCAGCTGCAAACTGGCATTTGGGATGCCTGAACACCAACCTGGGGCAGAAGCAGGTCCCGAAGGCCAGGATATGCCTACAAGGGCTGGGATGGAAAAGGAAATTCCCCTCCCCAGGCTTCACATCTCACCAACAACCTCAGCTGCTGCCTCCTAACCCTGCTCCATCCTCCTGCCACCCCAGGTCACCCTGGTCCACGCCCCGTCCTCACCCTCGCTCGAGCTCAGCCAGGCGGCACGCGGGCTGGCAGGGCTTGAAGGGGGGGCATCAAATATTGATGGAAGCCCCAAAGAGCAGGGAAGGGAGGGGGATCATGTTTCTGAGCTGGCCAGCTCACCCCTCGCCGCTTTGTGTGCGCCGGGCACCTGGCCAAGCAGCCATAAATAAACCAGAGAGCCCCTCGCGGTGACACGGCGCTGCCGGGAGCTGCCGCCGCGTCCCGCTCCTGCCATTAAACTTTCAGGTGCTGGGAAGAGGCAGCAGTTCCCACCGGCTGGGGAATAATTATTTATGGGGGTAGGAAGCAGGAGGGTGCTTTGGGTTTAGCTTTTATAGCAGGGACACCCAGGTGCTCCCGCAGTGCAGGGGTGGAAGGGCTGCTCAAGGCAAGACAGTGAGCCCTAAAAACGATAGCTGTGCCTGACTACACACAGAGCAGGGGGATTACACTAGACAGGACAGAATTAGATTAGTCTCTAGACAGGCACCAGAGCCCCGTGCTGTTACCTCCACCAGCCGGTCCTGGGGCCGCAGCCCTGCCCGGGAGGCGGGGGAGTCGGGATCCACCGAGCGGATGAACTGCCCCGGCCGCGACTTCTCGCTGTGCAGGTTGAAGCCGTAGCCATTGGGGCCCTTCTTCAGGTGGCAGAGACGTGGGCACAGCTCCTTCTGCCCGTTTAAATCCTGAGGAACGGAGAGGGGAGACAAGGCATTTAATTTACAGGCTTGGTTTTGCTCTAAAGCAGATGCAACCATAAATAAAGCTGCCGAGGAAGCACCGTATCTGCACCCTGTCCTCCCGTTCCCCTGCACAGGGACAGGTTAACAAATGAATTTCCTCTCATTGAGTCTATTTTAGAGAATCAATTGTTCAAAACCATTCCAGAAAAATTAAAACAAAACAAAAAATGCATTTCCTTCTCCAGAAGCAGCCCAGATAAAGTCCAACCATAGAGCAAGACCCCCCACCCCCAGCAGCAGCCACAGCCCTGGGCAGGGAGGGACCAAACCTCAGAGCCCAGGGAAGTTCTGCTCACTCAGACACCAGATTAACCTTAGTTATTTATTTAAGGCACTTCCATGCCCTTGGTCCCAGTGGCATCACCCATGGGTACAATCACCCAGGGAGGGGCTCCAGGGTGACAGACCCCAGGCCTGACATCTCCTGCAGCACAGAAAGGCTGAGCTTTTTCTAGGATGAGTGGCCAGGACAGCAACAAATCCCAGCTTTTCTCCAGCCCTGCCAGACCCATTGCATTCTCCCAGGTGCTGCTCTTCCCACCAGCTCCAGCCCAGCCCCATGTCCCTGGCAAGAGCTACCTCAGAGATACAGCTGCTCCCTTCCACCCACACCCCCTGTGGCTGAGTTTTAATCTTTCATTAAAAGAAATCTACTATTTCATCAAAAGGGCTGGAGCAGCTCTGCTCTGGAGCCAGGCTGGGAGAGTTGGGGTGTTCAGCCTGGAGAAGAGAAGGCTCCAGGGAGACCTTAGAGCAGCTTCCAGTGCCTGAAGGGGCTCCAGGAAAGCTGGGGAGGGACTTGGGACAGGGAGGGATAGGATAAGGGGGAGCAGTTTCAAGCAGAAAGAGGGGAGATTTAGGTTAGATACAAGGGAGAAATTCTTTACTGTGAGGGTGGTGAGAGCCTGGCCCAGATTGCCCAGGGAAGCTGTGGCTGCCCCATCCCTGGAGGTGTTGAAGGGCAGGTTGGATGGGGCTTGGAGCAGCCTGGGCTGGTGGGAGGTGTCCCTGCCCATGCAGGGGGGTGGAGCAAGTTAATCTCTAAGATCCCTTCCAACCCAAACCAGTCTGTGATTCTATGAAATGCCACTTCCCTCCTGCCAGCAGACCTTACTTTCACAGATCACAATTATGGTGAAATCCCTTACAGCCTTTCCTTCCAAATTAAAAACCCAGGTGGTAATTTCCCCCACATTCCTCCCTTGGCCAAGAGGCACCAAACACGAGACACCAAACCTGCACCCCCTCCTCTCCTGTATCATGCCCAGGGATGTCCTCCTTCCATAGAATGCTCCAGGGCCCTGACATGCCTTGCTGCCTTCCTGTTGGAACTGCCCACGGTGGCAGCTCCTGGGGTAACACCACTGCCACTGGCAGGGGACAGAGGCAGCAGAGAACGAGACATAAACCCAACTAATCCCAACAAGAAACACCCAGTTTGTGCCACAGAGAACACGTGTCCCTGTGCCACAAGCTGTGACCATGGCTTGGACACTCCCCCAGCACCAAGTGCGTGTCCCAGGCTTTAGGGGTGTGCCCTGGGGATGGGTGCTGCTGTCCTGGCACAGGATGGACACCTTGGCCACCCTGACTCCTCAGGGTCAGAGCACCAAAATCTTCAAAAAGCACTTGCCAACAAGAGTCACCAGCAGCAGAGCCCATCACCAGCATCAGGGCTCGCTCAGACCAGCTGCAAACTCTACCTGAACATTTACAGAGATCCACTTGACAACACAGGTTTTTTTAAAAACAACTTTAAAAGGAGCTGCAAGAAAAATCTCACAGAGTGCTTGAGTTCACACAGCACTTGTGGATGCTTCCAGGACAAGGTCTGGAGGAAAAGACACCAATGGGCACGTGCCTGGGGAGCTGCTCTTGGCATCAACACCTCAAGACACGGATGGATCCTACAAGGGAAGAATCCCCAGTGCAACATCTGCTGGTGGATGGAGCTCAGCTCTGGGACAGCCAGAGCTCCCCCCCTGCAGCCAGGCAGGGCTCCCAGGGATCATCCTCTCCCCCTGCAGCCTGAGCACGCCTGTGTGTTTCCCATGGCCCCAGCACAGCCAGTTCACCCCACGGGCCAACGTTTCCAGCTTGTCTGGGAGTTCTTCAAACAACTGAGGAAAACAGGAAATGATTCAACCTGCCAAAGAGGGTCCGAGCGCTCGGCCCTGAGGGATGCACGGGGCTCTGTGCAGGGAGGGGAAGGGAGGACATCTGTGAGCACAGGAGAACACCTCTGCTATCACCTGCTTGTGTTTAGAAGTGGGTTTTTTAGGCAGTTTTCCTCTTGCTCCATTTTTACAGGATCAGAAGCAGCAAAAAAAGTCACCTGAACGTGCCACACTGTGGCCACCGTCCCAGCCTGGAGGTCCCTGGGCTTGGCAGGGGAAGAGCCAGCAGGGCCAGTCCCTCCACTTCAGGGCTCCCCTGGGAATGCCAGTGGGATCCCCCAGAATCTCCAGTGAAATCAAATCACCCAAAATAAACAAACCACACGGGGGAAAGCAGCATCTTCAGGACCCCCTTGGATGCAAGGGTGGTGACCAGTGCCCTGTCCTGCTTGCTCGGCTTCTACCACAGCATCTGGAATTCAAAGGCCCTTGAATGAAATTAATCCAAGATCTTTGATTTTAAAAATTAAATAAATAAAATCCCGATTCAGCATCTGCTCTGAGCAGAAATCCTCAGGCAAAACTGCTTATCCTCCCACAGATGAGCTGGGGCTTTTACTGGGCTCTTAAACCCCCTGACAAACGCAACCCTCGGCCACTGGAAAAACCAGGCCTGGGAGCAGGTCTGTGCAAAGCCCCTCTCTGGGACTGAGCAAACCCCAACACCCCCCTCAGCTCCCCCAGCACATGCTCAAGCTGCACTTCCACGCTGTGTTGACACGGAGCTGCTGCAGCTCCTGCCAGCTCTGCTATTTATTTTCTTTTCGACCGGTGCCAACGTTTCCCTGGTTGTGTTCTGGGAAGTTATTTCCCAAGCTCCCGGGGGGGATTTTGCCTTTGTGAAACCCAAGCCCTGTGACCAGGCCTTCCCTGTGACACCAGCATGTTATCTAGGCTCCCCAGAAACCCACCAGCACTCACCCCTGCAGAAATGCTTTGGTGTTGCTCTGGAGGAGGCTTCACTGCCCTTTCACACACCAAGAACATAAAAGTCAGCCTGGGTAAGTTAGATCCACGTGCATACTAGAAAGCAGCAAAAATTAACTGTATTCTTTCCCTGTTTGCATGGGGGGAAAAAATGGATGCAGAAAAAACCCTGTAAAATAAAGATTTATATTTTTTTCTAAGAATCCAGATACTACCAGTGGGCACTGACTTCATCAACTGGATGAAGAAGCAGTGGGATAGCATGTCATATTCCACCTCCAACATCAGTGTCTGTACCCAGCCACAGGTATGTGTGTGCAGATAAATGCTCCTTGGAGGATAAGTGGCATTGCCACACCAGCCCTGGAGCTGCTGCTGGAGGCAAATCATCCCTGTTTTACAAAGAAAAAGCTTTCAAAAATGCTGTTCAGGCTGGTCCAATTAAAAATGCACAAACAGGACATTAAACAACAATGAAATGCTTTCAATAATAACAAAAAACCCCTCTGGTTGGGTGTTGCCAGCTCTCACAATCTCATGGCAGCTCTTGCAGCCTTTGATTTTGTTTTTCCTTCTCTTGTTTCCAGTGATGCTGCTGGGAGCCAGGGACCCTCAGGGACACCCCTTGGCTCTCCAGGGTCCCCTAAGCTAACCCATAACCCTTGGGGATACTGGGACACCACAGCAGAGACTTTGTGCCACCCCCAAGCAGATCCCTGCAGTGATCCCACCACTGCTGCCTTCCCCACGGGTCCTGACTCCCCAGACTCCCTGTGCCTTCAAACCATCACCTGCAGCCCGACCTGGAGCAGAAACAGGGATGAAAAGGGCTTCTTTCAAAGACCATGTCACACAGGCATGTGCTTTGGAGCCAGAACAGGGATGCTGCAAACCTGCTGGGATAGGCAGCCTGGGATAGCCCAGCCCAAAAGGCCACAAGTCTCCCCATTCCTGGGATGCTCAAAGGTCGGGTCCCAGGAGCATCCCCAGCCCCTCTGCCCCACGGGGGGCTACAAAACCTCAGTTAAGCTCTAGGGAATTATTCCAGGAGTAAAACACCAGGACAGCATGGACACGCAGTTTTTCCTGGGTCTTTCAGGAGAGGAGGATGAGGAGGAAGAGGAGGAAGGAGCACACACACAAGAACAGACACAGAATTACTCTAGGGGCCGGGTCAGTACCATGGGCAGCCCGTGGGGCAGAGCAGCTCCTGCAGACCGATGCTACGAAGCCACGATGCACAGCCTGGATGTCCCTTGGCAATGGGAATGGGAGCTTCAGCCCCACTCACCACCCCTGCCCTGGGGATTTTGCTCACACTGAGCCCGGAGCCATCCCAGCTCCGTCACTGCACGTAATCCCTGGAGATCATGGATTGGCACCTAATCAGCTCAGCCCCGCCTGGGACCCCGGCCTGCAGCACTCTGCACCCACTGCTGCCTGCAGGGCTGCTCCCACTGCCCAGCCCAGTGGGATTTGCCCTTTCCTGGGTGCAGCCAAAGAGGATTTAATCCCCGCTGTGAGGAACTGCAGGGTCTGGATACGCTCCTGGCTCTGGATCACCCTGCCACACCTCAGACCTTCCCGCCTCTGCTCCTGGACAAAACGCAGGCAGGAGCATTCCTGACTAATTTACATTGTTAACATTTTCTTTTAAGTCAGCTCCCCTGGCGTCTCCTTTCCTTCCACATGTGGTTTCGGTCAGAAAATGGCTCCTTTGCTCTCCTGCTCCCTGCAAAGGAAACCTCCACCAGCAGGGCCTCACACCGGGCTCCCATTCTTCTCCGCGGCCATCTCGGGACACCAGGATGGCCCGGGGGGACAAGGGACACAGCTCAG